CCAGTTAAAGATGATTCAGAAATATTCAGAGAATACGTGTTTTCAATAAAAGCAGGCGAATTATCGTTTATATCTAAAACATGAACCTCTATGCGGTGTGCAGTCATTGGGTTGTTTAAAACGGCTTGAATTTTTAACGAGCATTTCACCACATTCGGACAAAGCTCCTCTCTGTCTATCCTCTCATCAACAAAGATGTTCCCGGTGCGCAAATTCACGTCAAAATATTTCTTACTGTAACTGGAAACAATACGTAGATCCCTGGTCTCCAGTTCCTGTACATTGAGGTTTAAATCCTTTGCAATATTCCCCACTACGGAGCCTTTGTTCACCTCCTCGGAAATCGAGTAGGATAACTGCGAAGCAGACCCGTCACAGAGACAAAGGAACACAACAATGTGAATCCAGACGTATTCCTTTTGTCCTCGGATATACATTGTTGATGCAACAACTGAACCCCGTCGATCATTTATCCTCAGTCCAGATATTTCCTTACAAAGAAATGTAATAGTGTGGAAGCTCCTGCCCTTCTCTTCACAGCGCCTTCCGCGGGTGTACTGATGGCCGATGACGATTTCATTTTTTTTCCCATGCAGGGAGGAGTTTTGGATAGGCTATACACACACATTCATGTCTACGGTCTCCAGCGACATCATGTGGTGAATGAGCGGTAAGCAAATAAAATCCAGTGTATGACAAAGTCATATAACGTCAACATTATGAATTACATCAATGATCGGGATTAAACGTGTGTTTTTTACATCCGGAGTGTGGTAACACTACAACTGAATATTTCGGTGGCTCATCAAGCTATTATATGAAATACAAAGAATATAATATATCCAGAAAGAAAATATCTCGGAGTTTAATTTCAGAGTGTAGCCATACTCCAGCTGTCCCATATTTATATTGTATCACAATTTATTGAGAAAAAAAAATATTTCTTTTACTGCAAGAACAGAAACTTCTTATTGACAACACAAAGACAAGCACCACGGACAGCGCCTTTTAACTTTATTCCATACTAAGAGGCATTGCAAATGTCAGATCACAGCAAACTGATACCAGCTGTAAACATCAGATGTTGCAGACTGAGGACCATGTTGACTGCTGTTTCAGTCCAGCTGAGGACCAACTAAGATCACTTTTCACTGAAATGTGCTCAAAAAAGTAACAGGGTTTGGAGCTGCATGACACACAAACATAATTCAGCACCTTGGACAACTGTATTTAAAAACAAGCAATAGACTAATTGGATCCTCCCACTGTAACACACAAGGATATTAAATCACAGGCCAGTTCAGGTAGAGGACATGTGACACAAAGTCTGAAAGTGCTGTAAGTTATATTGATTTGTAACATATCCTAGCCATCAAGTGCAATCGGAGAATAGTCAAAGGTTATAGTAGTTTCTGTTTTAACAAGCGTGATGAACTAGGAGACAGTCCTATTTGTGGTGCCTGAATGATGTTACACAGTATGTTCGTTGTTATTTATCAGAGGCAAACCAGGAAATGACATATTGTTATGACAGCATTGCCAAGTTTTGCAAGCAGTCAGCGCAAATGGCCTACCTTTTCTTTGTTGGGTAAAGTCTGAGTCCGCGTAAAAGTGTCTCCTCCATTAATACTGATCAGCTCAGCATCTACAGGTGGAAACGGTGCGGGGAAAACCACTACGTCACTCTTGAGTGTGTCTGAGCTGAAACACACGTCATACTGCTGAGTAGCTTTGGAGTAAGACCAGCTCCCGTCAGGGTGGGTGGTGATCATTGGGGCGCTGTACCTGCTGAAAGTGCCGTCTGTCCTGTGGCATTTGACAGCTATTAAACTGATGAGGCTGAGCAGAAAGATGACTGACACCGACACAATGGCGATCAGCAGATAGAGGTTCAGCGCAGAGAAGCTGTCCTCCTTTATGGGCACATGTCTGAACTGAGTCTGGATGTCAGCTGTGCTCTCAACCACCACCACCTCAATAGACACAGTAGCTGACAGGGAGGGTTCTCCGTTATCAGACACCAACACCACCAAGGGGTGAGTTTTCAGGTCATTGTCACTCATTCTCCTCTTAGTCCTGATTTCTCCGGTGCTGGTTCCGATGCGGAAGAGGTTGTTTCCTTTGGGCTCAGAGAGGTGATAAGAGAGCAGCGCATTGTATCCAGAGTCTGCGTCTACAGCCCTGATCTTTGCCACAAAGTATCCCGCTTCAGCAGAATAGGGGATGCTCTCACTGTTAACGGAGCCGTGCTCAGAATATGGCGCGAGAATTGTTGGATTATTGTCATTTTCATCCAGAATTAAAACGTTGACAGTCACGTTGCTGCTGAGCGGAGGAACACCAGAGTCTGTGGCCTGAACTTTAAACTGAAACGTTTTCAACTCCTCATAGTTAAAAGACTGCAGGCTGACTATATCTCCAGTCTCTGAGTTGATGTTCACCATTGTAGATAACGGCAGTGAGTTACTGTTACTTTGTAAAACTGAATAGCTCACCTGACCATTCTGATCGACGTCAGCATCGATTGCTGAAACAGTTTTTAAAACTGCTCCTACTGGACTGTTTTCTTTCACAAAGACATTGATTATGTTTTCTGTGAATAGAGGTTTGTTATCATTCACATCTGAGACGTGGACATTAATGACGCTCGTGCTAGAGAGAGGTGGGCTGCCCTCATCAGTAGCAGTGATGCTGATGTTGTATTCAGCTGAGGTCTCTCTGTCCAGAGGACCGTCCACCACCAACGAGTAGTAATTCTTATAATTTGACTCTAATTTAAAAGGGACATTATTTGAAATCCTACAGTTCACCATCGCATTTTTACCTCCGTCTTTATCAGATACTGAAACTAGTGCAATGGCGGTGCCAATGGACGCATCCTCCTTTACGGTGCTTAACAATGACGTAACAGATATTTCAGGGGCATTGTCATTGACGTCTAAAACTTCAATTAATAATTTGGCATGTGAGGTCATAGGTGACGAAGCTCCATCACTGGCTTGTACTCGAATCTCAAAAGCATTATTTTCTTCAAAGTCGATATTCTTTTTATTTGTTACTGTCCCAGTTTTTTCATCTATAGCAAACAGATCAGGTTGTTTCCCTCTGCCTACTTTACTGAACGATAATAAAACATGTCCATTTTGACCTGCATCCAGATCAGTAGCATTTAATGTTATTATTGACGTGCCTATCTTTACATTTTCATACACACTGGCTTTATACAGAGTTTGACTGAATATAGGAGCGTTATCATTAATGTCCAGCACATTAACTATAATCACCATAGTGCCAGATTTAGCAGGAGTTCCTCCATCAATAGCAGTCAGTGTGAGTTGGATCACAGACTGTTTTTCTCTGTCTAAAACTTTCTGAAGCTGTAGTTCGGGAGATATACTCTCTCCTTTATGTGTGACGAGAGAGAAGTGTTCATTTTGGCTCAGCTTGTAGTTATTTACAGTATTTTTTCCGACGTCTGCATCGTCAGCAGGATGCAGAGGAAATTTAGCCCCTGCTGCTGTGTTCTCACTAATGTCGATTACCTGCGAGCTGCTCAGAAATGACGGGGAATTATCATTCACGTCTAAGATGACAATTTCAATCCGGTACAGTTTTAAAGGGTTATTAATCACTGCTTCTACACTGAGGGAACATTTTGGTTCATCGCCGCAGAGTTCCTCTCGATCTATCCTCTCATTAACATACAGGACACCAGTCTTTAGATTTACCTCGAAATATTTTCTCTTTGATCCAGCAACGATCTGAAACATGCGGGACTCCAAATCCTGGACATTGATGTTGAGATCTTTGGCGATATTTCCGACAACAGTCCCCAGATTCACCTCCTCTGAGACGGAGTAAGAGAGCTGTCCAGACACCGCTTCCCAGTAACAATCCAGCAGCACGAACAGGAGATATATCCACACACAGCTCCTTCTGCTCGGCAAATGCATCATTCCACACATCCAGAGACGACATAAAGGTAGATTTGGCGAATAAGGTCACTCATATGGATACATTAAACAGCATCACGAAATATACCAAATGAATTTATCGGCATATAAGCACTACAATAGAAAAATGGTGGTCGCACCGTCCTCTTTCGCTCCCCGAGTCTCTTTGTTTGAATCGCCTGAGAAACATCATCATCCTCTGAATCTGGGAGGAGCCCCGTGCTACCAACGAGTTGGTTCAAATGTGACGGTCTACAATGTCCTCATGTGGACACTTGCGAGAACTACATTCAACATACAGACACTAATATTAGCAGACCTTGACATTCTTAATTTCCACTTGAACATGTAGCTAAACCATTTCATAAGTCAAAGAAGAATTGGTTGAACTGCTTAATTCATCACAGTGATAATTTAGATTAACACTTAATATGATTGCATCTTTTAATAAACTGAACTGTTTTCAAAATGAAGTCAAAACTTCACGAGACAACTGATGTGATTACAGAAGAAGGTTTTTAAAATATCAGCAATCCAGAAAAATGGTTTAGTCAGGACACAAACAAAAACCCGCTTTCTGCAAAAGCCAGACACGAATAAAGGGAAAAGAAGCACAATCAAACTAAAGACAAAGCATGTATCTTCACAAATACATTGCTGATGTTTGAGCCGGTATGAAAGCCTAATTTCTATGAGACAGGGTTGAAAATAATTTACAGCTTTGTCCTGCAGTTTAGAAGCGACACAGAACCACATGCCTTCAGCACCATGGAAAGCCACATACACTTAAAAAAAGCAGCTCAGCAGAAAGTCATGACTGAGATCACTAATTCAACACATTTCCATTGTGTGAATTTATATCAAGATACTCAGGTAATTTTGAATATTTCTACAGTATATTAACTCAAACGCAAGTCACATATTTTTCCCCTAATCACCTACATGACACAAAGCTTTTTGCAAAAGACTTCAAGTACAACGGCATCAATTCCCACCCAGTTCTCAACATTGGTGTAGTGTCAAACACGTGGTGCTATTATGTTCTTACCTTTTCTTTGTTGGGTAAAGTCTGAGTTCTGGTAAAAGTGTCTCCTCCATTTATACTGATCAGCTCAGCATCTACAGGCGGAAACGGTGCGGGGAAAACCACTACGTCACTCTTGAGTGTGTCTGAGCTGAAACACACGTCATACTGCTGAGTAGCTTTGGAGTAAGACCAGCTCCCGTCAGGGTGGGTGGTGATCATTGGGGCGCTGTACCTGCTGAAAGTGCCGTCTGTCCTGTGGCATTTGACAGCTATTAAACTGATGAGGCTGAGCAGAAAGATGACTGACACCGACACAATGGCGATCAGCAGATAGAGGTTCAGCGCAGAGAAGCTGTCCTCCTTTATGGGCACATGTCTGAACTGAGTCTGGATGTCAGCTGTGCTCTCAACCACCACCACCTCAATAGACACAGTAGCTGACAGGGAGGGTTCTCCGTTATCAGACACCAACACCACCAAGGGGTGAGTTTTCAGGTCATTGTCACTCATTCTCCTCTTAGTCCTGATTTCTCCGGTGCTGGTTCCGATGCGGAAGAGGTTGTTTCCTTTGGGCTCAGAGAGGTGATAAGAGAGCAGCGCATTGTATCCAGAGTCTGCGTCTACAGCCCTGATCTTTGCCACAAAGTATCCCGCTTCAGCAGAATAGGGGATGCTCTCACTGTTAACGGAGCCGTGCTCAGAATATGGCGCGAGAATTGTTGGATTATTGTCATTTTCATCCAGGATTAAAACGTTGACAGTCACATTGCTGCTGAGCGGAGGAACACCAGAGTCTGTGGCCTGAACTTTAAACTGAAACGTTTTCAACTCCTCATAGTTAAAAGACTGCAGGCTGACTATATCTCCAGTCTCTGAGTTGATGTTTAAAATGGATGACACCGGAATATTTTTTGGATTAGCATCTAACAATTTGTAAGTCAGTTTTGCATTACTGTCCAAATCAGGATCAAAGGCATTTATTGTATGGATAACAGAGCCAACAGGACTGTTCTCTTTAACATAAACATTGATCACAGGCTCCATGAAGCGAGGTGCATTATCATTGACATCAGAAACATGAACAGTAATGACCCTGATACTGGACAGAGGTGGACTTCCCTCATCTGTGGCTGTAATAGTGACATTGTAAAGAGAAGTGTTTTCTCTGTCCAGTGGTCCATCTACGACTAATGAATAGTCATTTTTGTAGTTGGACTTGAGTTTAAAGGGAACAGACCCCACTACCTTACAGTTAGTTACACCATTGTTCCCTCCATCTTTATCACTGACTGTAACCAAAGCAACTATTGTCCCCAGTTCTGCGTCTTCTTTTACTGGGGTCATGAGTGACGTCACAGATATTTCTGGGGCATTGTCATTCACATCAATTATTTCTATTAGTAGTTTTGCAAGTGCACTACGAGGAGAAAAGCCTTGATCCTTTGCTTGAACTCTGACCTCATAAGCAGGTGTCTCTTCATAATCTAATGTTCCCTTCACAGTGATTTCTCCTGTTTCTGAATCTAGATCAAAAATATCTGACGGATCAATATTTCCTCGTTTGATCAATGAATACAGGATCTTACTGTTCATGCCCTCGTCTAGATCAGTTGCATTTAACTTAATAACGAGTGTTCCGGGAGTCGCATTTTCTTTAACATGCGCCTTATAAAGGGATTTACTAAACGTTGGTGTATTGTCATTAACATCTATAACATTGACTGTTAATTGTAACGTTCCTGATCTCGGAGGTTTTCCTCCATCTACAGCGGTCAGGAGGAGTTTGATTACTGGCTGTTTCTCTCTGTCTAAAGCTTTCTGCAGCACCAACTCAGCAGACACACCGTGTTCTCCACCGCTCTGCACATCAAGAGCGAAATATTCATTCTGGCTCAGCTTGTAGCTCTTTACCGAGTTGCTGCCTATGTCTGCGTCTAGTGCTACTGGGAGAAAATATCGCTCTCCCGTTGACACTAATTCTGAGATATTAAGTAAATGCGATTGTTCAATGAACACAGGCGAGTTATCATTTACATCGACAACATTTATTTCAATACGATGTGCAGTCATTGGATTGTTTAATACAGCCTGTAATTTCAAGGAGCATTTTACCGTGTTAGGACAAAACTCCTCTCTGTCTATTCTGTCGTCAACAAAGAGGTTCCCGGTCCGCAAATTCACATCAAAATATTTCTTACTGTAACCCGATACAATTTGGAGGTCTCTATTCTCCAGATCTTGGACATTGAGGTTTAAGTCCTTTGCGATATTCCCCACCACGGTGCCTTTGTTCACCTCCTCGGAGATGGAGTAAGATAACTGAGAGACAGACCAGTCGCAAAGACAAAGCAGCGTAACAACATGAATCCAGGCGTGTTCCTTTTGTCGTCGCACATACATCCTGGGTGCAATAAAAGACCTGATCCGAGTCGATCATTAATCCACAGTATAGGTAATTCCTTCAAAAGCAACTCGCTCTGTGAAAGCTCCAGCCTTTCTCGCTACAACACCATCGAGTGCCTGGGAGGTTATAATGGCTGATGACGATTTCATTTTTACCATCCATGGAGGTGGAGTTTCAGATAAACAGAAACATTCAGATCTATGGTCTCCAGCGACATCTTGTGGTGAATCTTGGGTAATTTTAACATGTACTTTGTCAGATAATTTCCAATTTAGTTTCCACAAATACTTTTCGCAGGGCTGCAAATGCAGTCTAACCTCGAATGACGATTGGCCTCAAAATGTTAACAAATGGTTAAAAGTCAACCACATATACACGTATTAATACCAGTGTTTAGCATTTAAACATATAGTTGAATATTCAGAGTGTAACAGCAAATTATTTATTGACAATTCCAAAGCCAGACAAGCCACCTCAAACTTAAAAAAAAATAACAACAATGAATCCAGGAAATCACAGATTAAAATACTCATGGTGTTTAAATACAGCATGAAGTTCTTTCAGTAAACAATGCTACTACTGATAATAATTATACATTAAAGCTGCTTCCTTCCAAGTAAGGCGATGCAGAAACCATATTTTAGGGACTGACTTCAGCACCACGGAGAGCGCCATTTCATGTGAGAACATGTTGGAAGAGCTATTTTCTCCTCAGTGTTACAACTGTATTTCAGGGCAGATTGATGGTGACACCAAAGATCGTTACGTTCAGCACAATGAGAGGCTGTCTCAGTGCGAGTAACGACCTACTGACGTCACTTTGCTCTAATGTTAAGATTTTCCCCGAGGATATAGAGGAGCAAGCTCAGGGTTTAGTGGTGTTGAAGCCCGAGGGTCCAGAAACTTAATTCAGCACCATGGTCAGCGCCGTTGTCACTTCAGCGTCACTAAATGAGATATTTTTAGAAAAGCTTTTCAAACGACTCTCTTAACTTCGCCACACCACCAGCTAAAACTCATAAGACCAACCTGGTCATTTGGACATTTCTAAGACTAAGATGTTATGGAAAATAGTAGCCTAAATTATATATTTTTTGTGTGGATCTAGGGAAATGCCTAGGTTAAAAATGAGAGCAAACAAAATGGAACAAATACAGACAGTACTACGAGTTCAGCTGCTACTTTCAGCTGTAGTACAGTAAGTTGATCTACATTAATGCTTGAAATTTCCATGAAATAGAGCAGCATTGACTTATGTTCATCCAGGCTTGCATAAAATGGTAGGCCTAAATCAAAGTGCATGGTGGAACTCATAAAAAGTCAAATAGTATAATTACATTTCAATTAATGTGATTTTAAACCCCAAACAATTACTGAAGCATCGACTGCAATGTATAGCCTACCTTTTCTTTGTTGGGTAAAGTCTGGGTTCTGGTAAAAGTGTCTCCTCCATTAATACTGATCAGCTCAGCATCAACAGGCGGAAACGGTGCGGGGAAAACCACTACGTCACTCTTGAGTGTGTCTGAGCTGAAACACACGTCATACTGCTGAGTAGCTTTGGAGTAAGACCAGCTCCCGTCAGGGTGGGTGGTGATCATTGGGGCGCTGTACCTGCTGAAAGTGCCGTCTGTCCTGTGGCATTTGACAGCTATTAAACTGATGAGGCTGAGCAGAAAGATGACTGACAC